CTCCGCCTCCTGGGTTCAGGCAATTCTCCTGCCTCAGCCTCCTGAGTAGCTGGGATTACAGGCACGCACCACCATGCCCAGCTAATTTTTTGTATTTTTTTAGTAGAGATGGGGTTTCACCATGTTGGCCAGGATGGTCTCGATCTCTTGACCTTGTGATCCACCCGCCTCGGCCTCCCAAAGTGCTGGGATTACAGGCTTGAGCCACCACGCCCGGCTATAACTCCTGAATTTCACACTGAATAATCCATCCACTATTACCCATATAAATAATACAGAAAGCAAAGCAGTCGTTTCTGTTGGTCAATGGGTCAGAGCTTACCTTTGCTTCAGGTGTTACTACTGGCTTTGGTGGGAACTGCACTTCAGTAGCTTTAAGAATAGTATTCTCTTGTAGGATGTCTTGCTGAGACTGGTTATGGCCAAAAGGCTGTCATATAAAAACAAAGAAAAAAGGTGGGCCTCTGATGAAAATTAAAGAGAAAACAATTCAATACCACAGGCAAGGAAAAGGAGAACACATCTTCTAATTTGAATTGCTGCAAGGAATTCTGGAGACAATCCCCTCTAGTGCTCTCACTTTATGGACAAGGCGGGTGAGAGCTCAGAGCGTTAAGTACTTGCTCACAGTTCAGCATCCAGGTCAAGGCAGAGCAGGGACCAGAAGCAGCATCTCCTATATCCTAACGCTCTACTAAGTTTTGCTCATAGCAAAGAAAAGGAAGATCCAGAGCAGGACCCCGCAACCTCACCTGCTCTGAGGGACACATGCCAGCCGGCCTAAGCAATATACAACTGTGCCTCAGGCCAACTCAAGAGACAGAGAAAAAGAGAAGGAAAGGAAGTGAAAACACAGAAGGGTAAGGAAAGAGTAGGAACAAGAAAGAGTTGGGATTACGTAATGGCTTCATCTATGCTAAGCTGCCATTTTCTAATAAACTCTTAAAAATAAGTTCAACTTGAGTCTCTCTGTACTGGTTCTACTGAGATCTCTCTCAAATAGTTATGTCTAGATAATTTCTTCTTGGGAAGACTGTACACTTTAATAAATAAACAATTTTATGTCAATCTCTATACATACTATCAGAATAAATACATGTTCCGGATCTAATTGAGAACAGTAAAAGTGCATGTTTTTAATAGCTCAGCAGAACTCACTAGGTGCCCTAGGGCTGAGAATTTCTGTTTACGCTTAAAGCTTGTATTATTAAGTCTGTATTTTTTTAAACCACTACTTTCAGAATTCTACATTGTATAACCCGATAATTAACTCCGAGAGACTAATCCGTATCAAGGCACTGTGTATGTGTGCCACCCAAGAAAGAAATCAAGCTTCTCTGTCAACCTTCTAACTTACCTTCCTTCCATAAAGACACTGATAGAAGATCACACCCACCGACCACACATCAACTTTATTTGAGATCTTTGGTGGTTCTTTCCCAACCACAAAACACTCTGGTGGTAAATACCTGGGACAGAGAAGAAATAAAAATTCTTAGAATAACAATTATATAAATCTAAGACATACAAAAAGACAAAATATCTTGTTGAAAATAAAAATATCTAATTTTTTATTTTTGTTTTTTGAGACAGTGTCTCTCTGTCACCCAGGCTGAGTACAGTGGCGTGATCATGGTTTACTACAGCCTCAACCTCCCAAGCTCAGGTGGTTCCCCCACCTCAGCCTCCCAGTAGCTGGGATTAAAGGGAGGCACCACCATGCCTGGCCAATTAAAAAAAAATTTTTTTTGTAGAGGTAGGGTCTCACTGTGTTGCCCAGGCTGGTCTCAAACTCCTGGACTCAAGTAATCCTCCCACCTCAACCTCCTAAAGTGCTGGGATTATAGATGTGACCCACTACACCTGGCCAAAATATGTGAATTTTAACAGTCAACTTAGACTTATATGGAGAGTCAGTGAAAAGACACTCTAGGCAGGGTTTGGTGGCTCATACTCATAATCCCAGCACTTTGGGAGGACAGGGCCAGCAGATTGCTTGACCTCAAGAGTTCAAGACAAGCCTGGAGAATATGGCAAAATCCCATCTCTACTAAACATACAAAAATTAGCTGGGCGTGGGAGCATGCCCCTGTAGTTCCAGCTACTTGGGAAGCTGAGATGATCACCTGAGCCTGGGGGAGGCTGACTGCAGCGAGTCAAGATCATGCCACTGCACTCCAGTGACTGAGTAAGAACCCATCTGAAAATAAGAAAAGACACTCTAACGTTAGAGAGGCAGTAATGTCCTTTAAGGCATCAAAATACACTTCTCAATTTCCTGAGAGTGGTAACTATTCTCACTAGTCCCACTTCACTCACTCTCAGCCTCTTTCCCCAGAGTTGTACCTAATATAGTGTCATTCGACAAGTTTTAAAAAAGGGGTTGGGGGAGACACAAAAGAAGTGCATTCCCTTTTAGGATAGCTTCATCAACAAACATTAAATATAACTAGAAATGGTATGGGTTTCATGCTGCCAAAAGAAGGAGATGTGTCTAAAATAAGTAAATATTTTAAAAGTTCAAATGAATTCAGGATGCAGTATAGATCTCTGATGGGAGAGGTTATCCTACCTATTTATGGTAGCCTCTTATGATCCCAATATATGATCAAGGGTGACAATAAAGTCCAAATTTTCAGAAGTTACCTCTTTTCAAGATGGGGTCTCACTATGTTGTCCAGGTTGTTCTGGAATTCCTGGTCTGAAAGGAATCCTCCCACCTTGGCTTCCGAAGTGGGTGGAATTTACAGATGCACCACCCACCACACCTGGCTCAGAAGGTATTTTATATTTCCTGCTTTAAGTATGATCAGGGGCTTACTGGAAGACTAACGAACAGTGTAGCAAAGGCCAAACTAGTTGTTAGAACGAAATTCCTCATCTAAATTCCTTCCCTCTCCACCATTGGTCTCTAAAAAAACTATTTAACATGTGATAGCCAACCACACCAAATTGCATGGTATAGAAGGTAAGTACCTCTTGTATTTTGGAAACCAAATAAATACAGCTGTAGGCTTAGCCACATCATGGCTGGAAGGTAGAATTCTGAAGATTGCAGATTGATTTCTGCAGATTTCATGCTAGCAAAATCAACTCTGTGGAAAATTCTTTATTTTAGAACCTATGCTCATCCTGAAATACAACTTACAGCTTGAAGGGGACCACACAAGTTCAGAGGCAGAAAATATTCCTTCTCTGATCCACCTCTATCAAACAGTTTCAGATTGATAGCCTTCCATTTCTTTTAAAAAGAATTATAGTTTTGTATTCTTGTTTCTTATTTACTATTAAGAGACCTTTTCTTGAGACAGAGACTCACTCTGTCACCCAAGCTGCAGTGCAGTGGTGCGATCTCCGCTTGCTGCAATGTCCACCTCCCAGGTTCAAGCGATTCTCCTGCCTCAGCCTCCTGAGCAGCTGGGACTACAGGCACCTGCCACCACATCTGGCTAATTTTTGTACTTTTTGGTAAAGATAGGGTTTCACCATGTTAGCCAGGCTGGTCTCAAACTCCTGGATTCAAGTGATATGCCCGCCTCAGCCTCTCAAAGTGCTGGAATTAATTAAGCCATTGCACCCAGCCTAAGAGACATTTTTGGATGATTAAGACCTTTAACTAGATTATTATTTTACAATAAAAACTTTTAGTTAAAGCGCACATTGAGAAATGAAATACAGGACTCACTAAGAGAAGAAAAGGCAAATAAATAAAGGAAAAAGAATTTAAAAAAAGAACAGCTCTTCCAAGAGCTAGTAAAACCTCCCTGAACCCTCGTTTTCATAGTTCTTGATTTTTAATATACATAACTTAAATATGATCTCAAATAAGTAACAAATATAACCTTAACTCTAAAATGACCATTTAAATGTCTTTATAACTTTTTTATGGCAGTGGCAGGGAAGAATAGGAACTGTTGAACTCATCCAAATGCAGAAAAATAAGTTAGCAAGATATTTAGAATATAAGAAGCCCTGCCACTTGATAATACATGTCTGGCAAATCCCTCTCTAGGTCTCAGTTTCTCCATCTGTAAGTGAATGAAATTAATTCTTCATCAAATAATACTGAAAGTAACAAGCATTCTAACTTCCTATCAAGGATTTTGGGAGGAGAGTAAAAGACAGCTCTGGGATACTAAACTGTGTTAAAAAATATATAGTTACATATTCCATCACAATCAAAATTCCCATACAAAAAAACCAAATTATTCTCAAGGCATAGTCTATGGGTCACTTTTTTTAAAGAAGTATTCCACATAGAAGAGTTCTGTAACCACCAAATACTGAAAATAATTACTTATAATTTGTTATACCCTCTGGGATTATTTTTATCTGACATACTGAGGATGGTGATTATGACAATGCTTCTACCAATTTGAAGACTCTTCAAACCTTCATAGAAATCTATAACACTTAATTTTCTCAGAAGCCCCATCTTACTTGAAATTATTAAAAATCTCAACTATGATCTAAAGTAGAAAGAACAGTAAAATGAACCCCTAAGATAAGCACCATCCAGTTTCAAGAATTATCAACGTGTGGCCAATCTCCACCACTTCTTCCAACAGATTACTTTGAAGCAAATCCCTTGCATCACATAATTTTAATTTAAATTCTAATCACTGAATTTTTGTAGGTAAAAAACTACAGCAGTAACTAATTTAAATGCGAAAAAGCCTTAAAAAACAAACAAACAAACAAACAATCAAACACAAAGCTCATATCCAAATTCCAGTGAATGTATATAGCAGAGGTATAGACCTGTTTCCAGAATTTTCAGCAGCAGTTATTTTTATATCACTTAGTGACAGGAACACTAGCCCACAATAACCACCACAGTGAATAAACACTGTAAATGTAGCTTCTATTTTAAATCTATAATTTCAAAGTTTTAATTTAGGGACTGACTTTTACTACAGGTGCCATCTTTACAAGCAGTAAGGAGCAACAGAAAGCAGGGCATTGTGTCCATGGTGTTACTGGCAGGCTTCACGATGAACAGAGCTGATGCTGTGTGTTGTCAATGCCATGCCCTCTTTCCTGTCTGCTTCCTTATCTACCTCTCATTCTCAGACAGTCAGTATTCTCTGCTAAGGCCCAGGACCCTCCAGTCCCAAAGATAAGTGATTTAACCACCTTCCCTGGGGTACAAATAATATGTGTTGCCCCTACTTTAGTGCTATAGAGCCTTCTCTTGCAACTCTTGAAGCAAATCCTTCATCCCATTAAGCCATGAAGAGAGACTTGTATTTGGACTTAAAAAAATAAAACAAACTGGTGGCCTTTCTTTATATACCCCAATATGTGGCTTTCTGTGACCACCTCAAAATGCAAAAGGAAGCTTTGTTAACACACTTTTACAACCATAGAGTTAAAGGCCTGAGTTTCAGGTATCTTTTATGGTTCAAATGGTCAAAGGTAATGTAGGCAGAAATAGAAGCATAAAACTGCCAGGCAGAGCTAGCTTGGGTGGGGTGGCTAGAGGAAGACAGATGACAAGAGACGGGAAGAAATGTGCCTCAAAAACTTTTAGAACATGGCTAACAGACATGGATAGACTTCTGGTAAACCGTGGTCACTTTATCCTGCATAGATTTCATATGTGCTACAGTGACATTTCATCCTGATCTTTACAACTCCCTACGGTCCAACATCTTCAGGCAACTCTTGAAGCAAATCCCTTATCCCCTCAACCCATGAAGAGAGACCTGTATTGGGACAAGAACAGTCTAGAAATAAAGATTTTGGGGCCATTCTTTATATACACCACATGAGCAACCTTGTTCTCTACTGACTTGCAAGTCCAACTCTGTGTAGAAAACACACATCTCAAATACCTGGCCCATATAAGCTTTCCTTCTTCTTAAAGGTTTTCAAGAAAGGGAAGAAAAATAAAGACAAATTAATGTAAATACGAAGAGTCAAACTGCTGAAAAGATAGTAACAATTTAGGGAGAAAGTCTGCTTTGGTTTATGGCATTTTGCCTAGCAGACAGCATACAGCAATTAATTCTTTATCAACACTTCAGTATAGCAGAGCCACATCTCCATAGCCAACCTGGCAGAGCTCCTGGATACCTACCAATAAGTACCAGCACCTTGTGATGTTAGCTCCATGCCATCCACTGAATTGTAGCTATCATCATCCATGATCTTCGAAAGACCAAAATCTGTAATTTTTATCTCTCCACACGCTGTACCATTTACTAAAAGAATATTACCTAAAAAATAAAAATCTTCATGAATAAGCAGAGACTTACTGATTAAGAGAAAAACCAAAGTAATAACAGATAAGAAGAGGGCAACTGAAATCAAACTCTTGCAAAAGCAAACATCCAAATCTTGGGAATCAAGCAATCTGAACTCTGGATACTCAGGGAGAGTCCTCAGCATCTGCTGAAACTTCTATTTTCCAAGAATCACCTGCTTACTGTGCCAATACCACTACTATGATGAGCTCTGGAAATAAAAATAACAGGCCAAAGTAAAATATACTTGTTCACTTGGTCAAAAACGATGGGAAACTTTCATCTGAACTTTCAGTGATGATCTCTAAACTACCCTGTTTAGAAAAGTACTTGGAGTGTGGGGGAGGAATCAAAGAAGACAGATAAGGGAACCAAAGCTAGCACCACAGCGCCACCTACAGCACCTATGGCAGGAAAGTGCTGAATTCGGTTAACGGAAAATTCATTCACAAAATAGCCATCTTTTAAAAATTTGCTTCATTATAACTAATGTTGTAGTCATCTGAACTATATTAGAACATTAGAGAATAGTCAATAATGAGACTTAATATATACCTACCAGAATAGAAAAGCAAAGTTTACAATTTTGCAACACCAGAAGGTAAAGGGGGACCATCTTCCTAACGCCCAGGCTAAGCTGTTAAGAGTTGTCTATAGAACATAGGCAGATTTCTAAAACATAGCTGAAGATAACGGTAAAAAATAGAGGTAACGGCCGGGCGCGGTGGCTCAAGCCTGTAATCCCAGCACTTTGGGAGGCTGAGGCGGGGGTGGATCACGAGGTCAGGAGATCGAGACCATCCTGGGCAACATGGTGAAACCCCGTCTCTACTAAAAATACAAAAAATTAGCTGGGCATGGTGGCACGTGCCTGTAATCCCAGCTACTCAGGAGGCTGAGGCAGGAGAATTGCCTGAGCCCAGGAGGCGGAGGTTGCGGTGAGCCGAGATCGCACCATTGCACTCCAGCCTGGGTAAAAAGAGCAAAACTCCGTCTCAAAAAAAAAAAAAAGAAAAATAGAGGTAAGGACTCTAGCTTCCCTGTACTCTTTGCTGATGACTATCAAAGCTGGATTAATAACCATACAAAAAGATGAAAAATTTTGCTTGAAATTTATTGAGATGGGAGGCATGTAAGTAAAATAAGTTGTTAATTTGGGGGCTCTTATCAAAGAGACCTGAAGCAGAGGAACTGCTATGTAGTATGAGTAATGGGAAAGAAACAAAACTGAACTTGCCAGAACAGTTCTTTCTTAATGAGACATCATGAACTGCCCTGGCTCCAAAGATAAAGGTATTGTTTCTCCAGGTTATTTAATCCAGCACACCCTCCTAAACCCAGTGCTGCTTGGCCAGGACTCTTCTTCCCACACCTACCCAAGCAATCAAAAGTCAGATGTTATTAGCTCTTCTTGGCTTCTGTAAAATTCTCTAACTCTATCAAAGTAAAAGTCACTTATAAGACCAAAGAAAAGCCACTCATACAGTCTCCTAAAAGTTAAGACATACCTGGTTTGAGGTCATAGTGTATGATAGGAGGTTTTATTTCATTTAAGTACTTTAAAGCATTCACAATCTGCATGATAATGGACCGGGCCTCTTTCTCCGACATTAATTTGTGCTGTTTCAGGTAGAAGTCCAGATCATTTCCCTCACAGTATTCTAATACTGTACAAAACCTAAAGACAAATAAACCAACATTTAACCATGGAATAAAAGCAAGCAGATTAAGACTACCTAAATCAGTCCCAGGTGAAAACTTCAGTTCATTAGCTTTCACCCCTTTCTTCTTAGTTCCTTAAAATACTCTTCGATTCTATATTCAGTATTAGCTGAGAGGTTTATGGTAATAAAACTGCTTATTCTCTTGAAGAGTTTCCACACCCTCAGTGTTGGAATCTGTTGTGCTCAAGTTCACCCATAGCAGACCTCTTCTTGAGTCTGGACTATAAGAATACTGATAAGAAGTATAATGTATGTAAGCTAGATATCTTCTTGGAAGGGTCTCCCTTACACACCCACATACATTTTATATTTTCTGTCTCTACTGAAAATATAAAAAATTGGCCATGTGGTGGCACATGCCTGTAATCCCAGCTACTTGGAAGGGTAAGGCACGCGAACTGCTTGCACCCATGAGGCAGAGGTTGCAGTGAGCCAGATCATGCCACTGCACTACATCTTGGGCAACAGAGCAAGACTCCATCTCAAATTAAATATAAAAAAGAAAAGAAATGTCTGAAATTTATCAGATTTCTCTGATCTGAGATTCTGAAATCTGAAATATAGACTCATGCTCAATGGAATGATTCTTTGACCCAATGCAAGTTGAAAATAAAGCCTCACTTTTAATATCCAAACAATTCTCAGAAGATGTTCTAAAAATGATGGTCTGACATTTTTGGTGACATTGCATCATACAAACAATAGGAACAACAAAGTAATCAACTCAAGAATAGTACGGAACTAACTCAATTTTTCACATTAGTTAAAAGTGTGTACACACTTTGAAGCAGCAGATAATTTGAGGCTGATATTAATCTTTTAAAGAGTTATTGAACTTATAGTTCAGAGAGGGGAGTCTACCTAGTATTCAAGAAATTCACTCAAAGCAAAACAGTGATGTCATGACCTGCCCCTGGTTTCCCAATCCTGCCCTCTAATTAGATAATTTTTTAAAAAAATTCCACTCGTGAAACACACATGGCCAAGTCCAGTGTCAGGGCTACCCAAATGAGAAGAAGAAATCTCTGAGAGAATGGCTCAGGTCATATTTCCAAAGGGAATTATAGTCCTCTTTGGGGTTATTTCTAAATGTGAGCCAGCTGTCTGCATAGCCTTCTCTGAGACTGTTGGCTAGAACAGACCAAAACTTCTAGAATTATCCTGGGAGGCTGAGGGAGCCTGGAGTCTAGAACTAAGGTATGTTCTGATTCAGTTCAAACTTCAACAGAGAAACATTTTCAAATGCTAAGATATATCCAACTAAACTGCTGGATAAACCCAGAGGTGCTGGAGCTAACCTATACCAAGTAACAAAATATAGCAAGGCCCATGATTATCAATGATCTCAAACAAGTCATATAACTTCTCTGGTCCTCAAAATACACCTATAAGAAGAAAAGGCTGGACTGGGGGATCCCTCCCTATTCTAACATCCTATAAGCCTATATTTTGACTGTTCTAACATTCTATAAGCCTATTCTAACATCCTATAAGCCTGTATTGTGACATGTAGCACTGAGTTCTGTCTTCATTAGTGCCACATTTCTTGTCTCGTTCTAGGATAAATCACATGGCCAATACTTTTTTAAAAGGTCTGGCAATGTTTATGAGAGTCTTGGGGTGAGCAGAAACTCTCCTGAACAGTCTACACTCGCTAGTGCACATCAGTGGCATGCTAGCACCAGCTCATGCCAGTTTTCAAGAGCTGACTTAAATTTTCAGGAATTTCGCGAGCTGGTTATTAAACCACTGGTAGGACAAATGGATAAGCAAAATGTGGTATATGTATGCAACAGAATATTATGTGGCCATAAAAAGGAATGAAGTAGTGACACATGCCACAAGAATGAAACTTGACCAACATCATGCTAAGTGAAAGAAGCCAGTAATAAAAGTCCACATACTGTATGATTCCATGCATACAAGAGTCCAGAATAGGAAATCCATAGAGATAAAACAGTAGTGACTGATTAAGGCTAGGGCAGAGGGACGGAATGGTAGAATAGATGGATAGTAGTGAAAGGGATGGGGTTTGAGGTGGGGAAAAAATTCTAAAATTGGCACTAGTGGTTGCATATATCTATGAATATGCTAAAAACCACTAAACTGTATATTTTACCTGCGTCAATCATATAACATGTGAATTATAATTAAGATGTTTAAAAATAAATAAACAGGTAGTACATCAAAATTGGACATGGGAGGAGTATCTACACCACGGAAATTGGCAAACACTATGAATTAGCCCTGTCTCACTTCACACCAAACTGATTGTTAAACATTTATTGGCACCCAAGTACACATGTCCTTTGGTGCAGAGGTTCCTTGCTGACTCAAATCTGAATTTACATTTGATCATCTGTCCATAAATTAACACATTTGGTTTCCTCAGAGGGTATTTCCTGGATCCAGAGTTCAGTTCTATTCCATGAACAATCAACACTGCAAGAAAATAATATAACTCTTAAGGTAAAACGGCACAACACTTACGAGTCAGTATCCAGTGAAAAGTAATCATACAGCTTAACTATTCTGGGATGATCCAGTTCTTTATGAATCCGGTATTCCCTACATGCATGCCTGTAAACAAAAGAGCAAATTAACAAGAAGGCATATTGGTCTGCCTTTTATAACTCTTCAAAGATGCTCCGAAATATTCAATCATTTCTCTATTTTTTCAACATGTTCATTCCATTCAGGTCCATCTGGTCCCTCATCTGATTTTTCTCTTTGGTCATCCTATTTTCTCTATTGGAATCTACGCCATTGAGAAAATAATAGGTGCTTAAATTTTGTTAAGTGAATGGATGTCAACCCTTTTCATCCCTTTCAAGTTCACTGTATGATAATCACACCTCTTTTTCATTTATACTCAAGTATTACAGATTTTAAAATTACCAGGACAGTTATTTTCCCCCCCTATCTAAAGCTGATACATCATATCTGTAAAGGTATATATGCTGGGATAACATCAAAGGGGTCAATGCTAGCATGTAAACCCCTTAGGTTAAAGGATTATCTGTTACATAAATCAATTAACAGTCCTTTATATTTTTTGTGTTTAAATCCTCCTCCTTACAAAAATAATTTAAGTGCTGTTAGCTTTATTCTAAGAAAATATGAAATGTGAAATGATGGAACCCCAGTTTTCTTAAAATGGTGAATTTGATACAGTCATCCACTGTGTAACAACCCTTTGGTCAATGACGCTAAGCCACATATATGACAGGGGTCCCATAATAGTATAACTGAGCTTCCCATGAATTAAAGAAGCAAAAAAAAAAAAAAGAGTACAACAGAGCTGAAAATTCCTATCACCTGGTGACACAGCAGTCATGATGTCACTGCACGATGCATTACTCTTGCTTGTGGTGCTGCCAGTCATATTAAAGTCTAGCACATTCAATTATCTACAGTATATAACACCTGATAATGATAATAAACAAATACATTATCAGTTTATATATTTACTATACAGCAAGCCCTTAAATAGCATCATCTTGTTATAACACTGACGGGGTTAAAAAAAAACTCATCAGCTAGGCACGGTGGCTCATGCCTATAATCCCAGCACTTTGGGAGGCCAAGGCAGGCAGATCACTTGAGGTCAGGCATTCAAGACCTGCCTGACTAACATGGTGAAACCCCATCTCTACTAAAAATACAAAAATGTGCCAGGCGTGGTAGCGGCTGCCTGTAATTCCCGCTGCTCAAGAGGCTGAGGCAGGAGAATCACTTGAACCTGTGAAGTGGAGGTTGCAGTGAGGTGAGATTGCACCACTACATTTCCAGCCTGGGTGACAAAGTTAGACTTCGTCTCAAAAAAAAAAAAAAAAAATCAATTCCTGGCCAGCACCACTGTCCGTGTGGAGTCTGTTTTTCTTCCCATATCTGCATGGGTTTTCTCAGATTATTCTGCTTTCCTCCCACATCCCAAAGCCAAACGTGTTAGGTTCACTGGCATGTCCACATGGTTCCAGTCTGAGTGTATGTGTGGGTGCTCCCACCCTGTGATGGGATGGCATCTTGTCCAGGGGTGGCCCCCACCTTATCCCTAAGCTGCTGAGATAGGCTCTGGCCACCCTCAACCCTGAGTAGGGAAATGAGTGGGTAAACTGTTACCTTGTTTCTATTGATCTTTCTTAAATCATATGCATTTCAATGTTTTAGTCTTTAGTTAGAAGCTGGGTAATGTTTTTGTGACCAGGAATATGCCAAAGAAACTTAACTCTTGTTTATGTCAATCAGCCTACAGTAAAATTGGTTTTGTTACGCCTTGTTTCCGTTATAAGTTGCAGTTTCCAAGAACCTATCACTGCTATCAAGTGAGGGCTTACTGTACTGCATTTTGTTTGTTTTTGAGATGGAGTCTCACTCTGTTGCCAAGGCTCTCCGGAGGACACTGGCGTGATCTTGACTCACTGTGGCCTTTAACTCCTGGGTTCAAGCAATTCTCCTGTCTCAGCCTCCCAAGTAGCTGGGATTACAGGCGCATGCCAGCATGCCCGGCTAAATTTTGTATTTTTAGTATAGAGGGGGTTTCGCCATGTTAGCCAGGCTGATCTTGAACTTCAGACTTCCAGTGATTCGCCTGCTTTGGCCTCCCAAAATGCTACAGTTACAAACATAAGCCACTGGGCCTGGCCTGTACTACTTTTTAGTCGTTTAAATTTTAGAGATTGGGCACACTCGTTCACAGCCATAATCCCAGCACTTTGGGAGGCTGAGGCAGGTGAATCACTTGAGGCCAGGAGTTTGAGGCAAGCCTGGCCAATATAACAAAACTCCATCTCTACTAAAAATACAAAAAGCAGCCGGGTGTGATGGTGAGCACCTGTAATCCCAGCTACTGAGGCAGGAGAGTTGCTTGAACCCAGAAGGCAGAAGTTGCAGTGAGCTGAGATCACACTACTACACTCTACCCTGGGTGACGGAGCGAGACTCCATTTCAAAAAAAGAAGAAAAAAAAAAAGAAACTAGAGAGTGTACTCCCTTCTACTTATTTAAAAAAAAAAAAAAAATTTGGCTGGGCACTGTGGCTCATGCTTGTAATCCCAGCACTTTGGGAGGCTGAGGCACACAGATCACCAGGTCAACACCATCCTGGCCAACATGGTGAAATCTTGTCTCCACTAAAAATACATGGGTATGGTGGCACACGCCTGTAGTCCCAGATGCTCGGGAGGCTGAGGCAGGAGAATCACTTGCACCCAGGAGGCGGAGGTTACAGTGAACTGAGATGGCGCCGCTGTCTGGCAAAAAAGCGAGATTCCGTCTATTAAAAAAAACAAAAAAACAAAAAAAAAAAAACTATAAAACAGCCTTGGGCAGATCCATCAGGGGGTAAAGGAGAAGGCATTGTTATCATAGGGAGTGAGGGGTGACAACTTCATTTGTGTTACTGTCCCTAAAGAGCTTCCAGTGGGACAAGATGTGGAGGTGGAAGAAAGTGATATTGATGGGCCGAGCGTGGTGGCTCATGCCTGTAATCCCAACACTTAGGGAGGCCAAGGTCCTGAAATCAGGAGTTCAAGACCCAACCTGGCCAACATGGTGAAACCTCGTCTCTAAAAAAAAACAATAAAAAAAAAAGAAAGTGATATTGATGATCCTGACCGTGTGCAGGTCTATGCTAACGAGTGCATGCATTGGTTCTTAACAAAAACATTTTAAAATCTAAAAAAAAATTAATTGAAAAAAGCTTATAGAAAAAGGATATAAGAAAAGAAGATATTTTCATACAACTGCACAATGTGTTTGTTTTAAGCTAAGTGTTATTACAAAGGAGTCAAAAAGCTAAAAAAAAAAAAAAAAGGCAATTCTAAAGCAAAAAGGTTATAGTAAGTGAAGGTTAATTTATACTTGAAAAACATTTTAATAAATGTAGTGTAGCCTGTGTAAGTCTATACTAGTATACAATAATATCCTAGACTTTCACATTCACTCACCTGTCACTTACTGACTCACCCGGAGCAACTTCCAGCTCTGCAAATTCCATTAATGGTACAGGTGTACCATTTTTTATACTGTATTTTTACTGTACCTTTTCTATGCTTAGATAAGCTTAGATACACAATTAGTAATACAATTGCCGATAGCAGGGTCCCCAACACAGTACAGGTTCGTGCCTTGTTAGGAGCTGGGCCACACAGCAGCAGGTGAGCAGTGGGTGAGTGAGCGAAGCTTCATCTGTATTTACAGCTACCCCCCACAGCCTGCATTATGGTCTGAGCTCCACCTTCTGTCAGATCAGCAGTGGCATAGATTCTCATAGGAGCACAAACCCTACTGTGAACTGTGCATGCCAGGAATCTAGGTTGTGTGTGCCTCATGAGAACCTAATGCCTGATGATCTGTCACTGTCTCCCAACACCACCAGATGGGACTAATTGCAGGAAAACAAGCTCAGGGTTCTCACTGATTCTACATTACAGTAAGCTGTGTAATTAATTCATTATCTATTACAATGTAATAATAATAGAAATAAAGTACACGATAAATGTAATGCGCTTGAATCATCCTGAAACTATCTCTGGTCCACAGAACAACTGTCTTCCACAAAATCAGTCCCTGGTGCCAAAAAGGTTTGGAATCACTGGCCTATAGTATTTAGGACAGTAACATGCTATACAGGTTTGTAGCCTAGGAGCAATGGGCTATACCATACAGCCTAGGTATGTAGTAGGCTATATCATCAAAGTTTACATTATGTACACTCTGATGTTTGCACAACAAACTCACCCAATGATGCATTTCTCAAAACATATCCCCATTGATAAGCAACATATGACTACATATGATTAGCATTTTTAAGGTACTTTTCTAGTTTAAAATCATTTAATAAGGAGCAAAAATGTACTATATAACCTGACATATTCATATCCTGAATATGCTTACATAATATAATTACTAATACTATTTTAAGTATTTAGTTTTTACAAAGTAGTTCAGCACTATCTGGTTTAGGACATTTTGTTATAAGGGTAGTTGGAAATGATATACTTTCCATAGTACAGTAGAATAAACCTAAAAAAACAGTGATGTTTTCAGAAACCAGTAAACTCCAGCATACCAAAAATACAAAGAAAGTACTCAACCAAAAAAAAGCTGAGGAAAAAATTAGGGGAAGCAGGGAAAGGGAGAAATGGGAATCTAAAAGTAATTACATATATTTTTCCCCAATGGAAACTATTTGGGTTTAGATTTCAAGCTGCCACTTTTGGCCATTTTGTCTCCTCTGATGCTTCATTTCACTGTCTTTACATTTTTCTAAAAACCAACTTGCCAACACTGAGGCAGAGCAGTGTCAGAACACACACTACCCTAGGAACACAGAGGCCTGGCTCCTTGCTATAGTTCTGTGGCTCCACCTCTCTGAGCTTCAGTTTCACCATCACTGGACGGGATGCTCTGAAGTGAGCTTGCTGCAGATACTCAGCAAATGTAGCTTTGGCCTCCTCAACACCCCACCCCCCAGGTTCCACCAAAGTAGCTCCATACTTGTCTTTTTTTTTTTGATTACACACATATATTTAACAGTATAGTGCTAAGGGCACTTTTCTTCATATTTTATAGAAGGGCTTGAAACATACAGATTTTCTCTTAGTAACAATATAACAGCACATAACCAAATCTAAAACCTATACAGATGTATTACAATTTATTTAGAATTTAAAGGCTTAAAGGCAATAAGCAGGAGAGGAAAAAGTATGTAAACTTTTATTTTACAAAACTGACTGAAAAATACATTCAAGAAATAGTAAACAGAACTTAATATGATCTGGTTGGGTGTGGTGGCTCATGTCAGTAATCTCAGCACCTCGGGAGTCTGAAGTGGGAAGACCACTTGAGCCCAGGAGTTCAAGACCAGCCTGGTGGGCAAAACAGTGAGACCCCATTTCAAAAAAAAATTATATAATTAATATGATCTCATGTGCCCTGAAGGAAGTGGCAACCGATTTAGAGAGGTAATCACTATGTTCAAATAATCTCCTACATGGAACTTCTGCAACTGCAGAGTCACGGAATCATCAGTCCCCTTTCTGCCAGCACACTTGCATTTTTAAATACATTAAGATTCCATGTAATATTGCACTTGATTAAAAAATAAGGGTGCTGCCATTCTTTATTTTTGAGATGAAGTCTCACTCTGTAGCACAGGCTGGAGCAGTGGCGTGATCTCAGCTCACAACCTCTGCCTCCTGGGTTCAAGCAACTCTCCTTCCTTGGCCTTCTTAGTAGCTGGGATTACAGGTGCCCACCATCACGCCTGGCTAATTATTTTTTGTATATTCAGCAGAGACAGGGTTTCACCATGTTGGTCAGGCTGGTCTTGAACTCCAGATCTCAGGCAATCCACCAGCCTTGGCCTTCCAAAGTGCTGGGATTACAGGAGTGAGCCACTAC